CAAAAATCAATTCTGTAACGTTTAAGGAGAGAGCAGGCTCTCTCAAAATTGAGAGCCTGCTCTAATATGCATAGAGTCGGCTCTAGGGCTCTAAGAGCCGGCTCCAGAGCATCCAGAGCCGGCTCCACTTCCTTGGGAGCCGGCTCTAAGGGTTTGGGAGCCGGCTCCCTCACCTGTTAAAGCCTGCTCTCTTCCCTTTAGATACCGTCGTCCATTTTCCCTTCGTCTTCTTTCACTCCGGTGATTTCCAGGACCCTGTAATGTTTTTAAATCCTTGTTCTATTGTTCATTTAACCTTCCAGATTAATTACAAGGCATATATTACATCACTGATCTCAATTAAACAAAACTGAAACACATATACAAAAAGAACTAATTAACAGAAACTCTAAGAATTTGCAAAACAGTTTCATTCAACGAGATTAAATAAACATCAAGCAAGCATAACAGATTGTTTAAGCATTCATTAAATCCCTAGAGTCCACCTAAGCATGCACAGAACACAGGTTCATGGGGAAAGAATAGAACAGAAACTTACCTTTGAGACTTTGGATTAAAATCTCTAACTGTCGTCTCTATCAACTCCGGTAACGTCGGTTGTGTTAAATGACCTTTGCTGCACCTAGTTCAGTCCAGTAGCACACACCAAACTCCCCTCCTTGATTCAGTCTTAGCTTAAGCCCAAAACCCTAGCATTCCTCTTTTTATCTCCCTCTGTAATTCTCTATATCTCACGGTCTCTCTGTTTTACAGAAGTTGGCTTATTTTTTCTGAAACCCTAAACCACCTTATTGCTTATATTTATAGGTGTATAACAATAACCCTAGTCCATGTATAATTAGAGACAAAGTCCTAATTCCAATCCTAGCCGGCCCATGAAACTATCTAAGTTGTAACATACGACGGCTTACTATACAAACCTTCTTAGAGAACCCTATTGTTTAATTAAACCCCTGCCAACAAGTAGTTTAATACAATAAACATTGTTACTAATTTAATCTAATTACATAAATGAATCTCTTAACATAATTAGTTAAACTAATTTACACACCCAAAATTAATACTCACTAACGTAAATCAATTAATGCAATTTAACATGTATGTAAACCATTAAAACAAATAAATGAAATTTAAACACCCAATTAAACAATTAAATCAAATAATTAATTAAAACAACGAAACAATTACCAAATAAGCAAAAAGTCACACAAAAATATAATGAAACAAAAAGTAAAATGCCGAGACTATCCTTTTTAAAATTAGGATTATTACATTAATTGCTCAAATAATTTAAGTTACAACATGCTCAGGTCTTTTAAGCTTTCTAAATCACCCATGTAACGAGTTTTCAGCCAGTGACCCCCAAACTAGATGGTTTTAGGGCACTAAGTGTTAAAACACCTTTGAAGGCTTAATTACTCAAGTAATCTAGTCTACAGACCTAAACTTTACCTTTTGTTTCTTTTTATGCATATATAGTCTTCTTTTATACATTGGTTCTCGAAATCATCAAATTCACATGTTCATCCCAGTTTAACACAAAACAAACTGAGATATCAAGTTTATACCCCACAGAATGCATGTAAGTGTGAACATGTGTAAAGTGAAGTATTCTAAGGATCAAAATCATCAAACTGCAAATATCCTGACAAAGTGGACCACAGGCCACCAACTGATATAAAAAAATTTCAAAAATTCCCATTTAGCATGAATTCAGCATACAAGCCATCTTAAACTAATATTAGACTGCATATGTACATCATAATAATCAACAGACTCAAAATCCAATACAACAGTTATGCCTTTCACCAACATTTTTTTAATGACCAATACAACAGTGTTACCTAATAATTAGGTAATGATTTCACTAAGGGCTAGTTTGGTGTGTAATAATGAAATGGGAATGAAGGTAGGAATGGAATGAGAATGAAATGGAATGGGAATGATGATTCACATTCTCTTGTTTGGTTGCAAACATGGAAAGTGTAAAAATAAAATGATGATTTCCATTTACTTGTTTGGTTGGACTAAAAATTGAAATGGAATGAATTTATATTGTTTTACCTTTATCATCATTTAAATTGTTTTTTCCAAATTACCTTTATCATTAATAAAAAAAAATTAACTAAAAAATTAACATCCATTTTTTTCCAATCCAGTGGTTAGAAAGAGGTCTGTAAGAAGGAAATTGGGACAAGAGATAAAGAGAGAAAGTAGAGAGCAGAAAGAAACTGGGCAAGTGAGGTGTTGGAGATTGGGCGAGAAAAGCCAATGGGGAGAAGGAAGCGATTGAATAAAGGTGAGGACGGATCCGATTTGATCAGCGGCGACGAACGGCGGTGATCCAAGCTCCATTACAAACTTCATCGGTGAAGCTTACAATCCAGTCAAATGAAGTTACAATGTTCGGCAGTGAATCGGTGAGTTACGAACGGAATAGGCTAGCAATGGTGAGACTAACAGCGATTAAGAAAGCGATGCTGAACTTACCGGCAAGGTGGGTCAGAATTGAGCTTTTGAATCGTTGGTAAGATGGCGGTGAAATGATGGTGAGCACAGAGGACGGACTGGTGAAACTGACGGCGAGTAAAAAAGACGGCAACACTGACAGTTGTATTGTCGGCGGTGAAGCTTTTGAGTATGCTTAGAGAACGCTGACAATGGACAAGGACGGCGGCCAGAGAGCTCCACAACAGCGACCAAACGACCCTCTTCCCAAGTTGGTTTCAGCAATTCTTTCACAAAATCAACAATGAGAGAATCACGGGTCATGTTCACTGTTTGCTTCACTCAAATCTACTTTTGATTTTTTGTTGTGTCTTGGTCCATTACTTTGAAGTTCAAGATCAATATTATGTTTGTTAGGCAATGGGTTGGGTTGGGTTGGGTGCTCTTGTATGTTTCACTGTCAATAGAGGAGATGATGATGTCGACGGTGGGTTTGATAGAGGAGATGATGATGTCGGCGTAGGTTTGTAATTTGTTAGGTTTTATTTTTTAAAATGTTTTAGTTTGTATTTTTTTAAAGTATGAATGGAATGGTCATTCCTTTTTGTGAGAAGGTGAAATGATTTTGATGGAATGACCATTCTCCAAGAATGGTAAAAAATGACGATTCCAAGTTTAAAATTGGACACCAAACACAAAAATAGAATTAAAAACCATTCCATTCCATTCAACTTTCTTTGTATTCCATTTTACCGCACCAAATTAGTCCTAAAACAAAACTGGTAATGATGTAATTTAACCCGGGAAAATTTGGCCGGTGTACTTTAACCCGGGAAAATTTGGCCGGGGAAAATTTAGCGCTCTAATATTATTTCATCACTTTACTATTTGCTTAACTTACCATTTGTTTCTAATTTACCAATCTCATCCGACATTACAAGGGCAAAAATGGTCTCCAGACACCCTCTCACTGGAAGGTGTCCATTGCTGACATGGAGGCTATTAAATGGGTGACATGGCAGGGGTAAAAATAGTATTTACTCTTCTTGTGTATGTATATAATCTGTACCTTTATATATGTACCTATGTACCTATGTATCTGTACATTGTCTTCCACTTCCTCGCCGCCCACCACCGACCTCCGCCGCACCATCCTCACAACCTTCCCTTACCCCACCTTCCGCCTCTACCACTTTGACACCAACCTCATCCATGGCAAGATCTCCGCCTCCATCCGCCGTGCGCTCGACCAACCCCTCAACTACGCCAGCATATACCTCACAAATATTTTTTCACAATCACCAAGCAAATCCTCACAAATATATGTAATTTTTTTTTTTGGGTGTGTTTGGTGGCCGGATTTAATGGCTGAAAATTGGTTACCCGTTAGTTACCCAGATTAAAATCCATCACAAAAACCCATTTTCTCTCCCCTTCAGGGCTTAGATCATTCAAGAGAGAGAAGGCATGTGGGTCAGATGAGGGCGAGAAGAACCTAGACGATATAGGAGCTAGAGTTACCGGCGCCAGCGACAAGATCCACGGATTCTGAGAAGATTCTCGGCTAAGATCGGGTCGGCGATGAAGTAGAGGCCAACAATGTGGGTCGGCGATGAAGTCAATTAGCGGCGTGAAGATGATCCCTCTAGTAGCTTTCTGTTGGCGATTTCTCTTTGTCCTTTCCCGCAAAATATGGTGATTTCTCAGTGTCGGTCACCATTTTTTGAGATTTCTACTTTATTCTACAAAGGAAACCCTGCAAAAACCATTGAATCAATTTAAGTATACATGCCATTCAGTTTCAACTTTCAACCATCCCTCAACCCTCTCTCTCTAAAAAAAACCCAATAATTAATTAATGGGTCGAGACCAAGAGCAATGGAGTAATTAGGAGTTCTTATGCAATTTTCAAATCAAAAATTGAAGTGAAAATGCAGTTTATTTATCAATTCAATTCTGTGAACTAATCGAATCTCTAAAGAACACAAAAGGTGTAAAGAATCAAAAGCTAACGTACCAGTTGAAATTGCCCTAGATCTGACTCCACCTTTGGAAACCATCTCTCCTTTCTCGCCGATTCTGGAATGACACTTTCTCTCTCTATATGTATATGTGTTGTGTGTGCGCATATATATATATATTAGGGCTATGTAATACGCATGTGTGTTGCGAAATGGTTCATTGCTTGAAGAAGAGGGTGAGAATAGTGGTGTTGTCGGCGGTTGCAGTGGTGGTGGAGGGCCGGTGGTGAGGATGATTTTGGTATATTATATTTGTATATGGTAAGTATGTATATTGTCTGTAGTATTCGTACATGGTAAGTAAGATTTAAAAGTTACTACTAACTTGACGCTTCGTCATTGCTAACAAGACAGTGACATGGCCAAGTAGGCTGACATGGCTTCATCCTAGGATTTGGATCTGCCATGGACATCCTCCACTGAGAGAGGTGCCATGGAGTCCAGTGAGAGAGGTGCCATGGAGAGGATTATTACCCACATTACAAACCCTAGGTTTCTCTTCAGCCTCCCCAATCGGCTCCATCCCTATTCTCGTTCTCAACTCTGAAGTTGCCCTCTCTGTCTCTGTAACTGCAAGCTACAAAATCTACAAGAATCAGAAGTTCAAAACCCATATACTTTAGTTTATCTATCTGTCTGCTAGAATCAAAAGTTCAAAACCTATTACCTATATCAAAACCCATATCCGCCGATTTCTCACCTTCAACATCTCTCGCGCTCTCCATCACTGGTAAGAGCTTTGTCCTATTTTGCAATTTGTATTTCACTTTCCCATAGTCGTTTTGCAATTTCACTTTCCCATTTCGTTTAGCCCTAACCGAGCCCCCTTTCTTACACAGCTCTCTCCTTCAGTGCCGTTTTCAAGTTGCACAATGATTTCAGCCTCCCGAATCGTCTCCATCTCTATTCTCGTTCTCAACTCTGAACTCCCCCCCCCCCCCCCCCCCCCCCCCCCAACTGCAAGCCACAAAATCTACAAGAATCAAAAGTTCAAAACCTATATCGGCATATCAGTTCGATTTAATTCGGTTTTACAAGGTTATTCAGGTTCAATCTTATACAGTTCTCTCTCTGTATACATGGTTGGAATCTAGTCAAACTATTGCAGAAATTCTATGATGTTCACATTATCTAGTTTTTTTAAGGGGTTCTCTCTTTTTCATCCATTAAACTTATCTTCAACCAAGATCAATTAACTGGATAAGTCACTCTGATCATTAGAAAATATTGTGTTTTGCATGACCAATTAATTGTGTTATCTGTATTTTGTTACTGGTGCATAACCATTTATTTACTGCTCTGATGCTTTTAAGTTCAAGTCATTCACTATTTTGTAAGCGATGTATGTGTATATATATGTTGATGTGTGTCTTATTTGATTCATTAAGTATCAATTGGAAGCTTTTAATTAGTTATGCACTAATTCGTAAGTGAGTGAATAATATATTAAAAGGACTTATGGTTCATTTCTTATAGTTTTCTGCAGATAGCAGCAGATTATAGTTAGTTTCTATTCTTTATATGAAATTTGTTGAATTATCAGCTACTTTTATAATAGAAAAATGATTTTTCTTATTCCTTTATTTTATCAGAGAATAATAAACAAACTGACTTAGCAAGGTCCTTTTGAAAATAATGGGGATCATAGTGGTCATTTTGAATAAAAATAGATTAATGGAAGGGAGAAAAGATTGCCAATGCCAAGTCATTGCAGATAAAGTCTAGTTGTTTGTTTCTTTGCATTTTTATTTCAATAAACTGTTTTTCATGCTGAATTTGAGCAGTACTTGACAATCTAATGCAGCTATAGTTTGTTTGAAGACTTCCAGTAATTATCTAATTCTATCTAAAATTACAGTTGGATGGATATTTAAAAATTGGATTTCAAGACGATAAAAAAATAAAAAATTGGTGGCTATGACATGGACTCTATTAAGTCTCTCTACTTAATTATTGAAGCTAATGCTAATGCTATTTCTTCAGAAGTATTGAATTGCAACATGGACTAAATTACTTTCAACTAATCTCTGTGATAGTTAACTAACTCTCAACTAAACACATAGATTAATATTGAAAAGACAAAAACTTTTGTTGTCTTCATTACTGGTGCTTATGCTCGTGCTAGTTATTTGAATTTTTTGTAAATTACACTCAAAATTGATAAACTTGCCAATGTTGCAGGATCAATGGCAACAGAAGTGGTCAATGTAAATGAGTTCCAAGAACTGGCAAGGCAAGCCCTCCCAAAACTGTACTATGACTTCTACTCTGGGGGAGCTTAAGATCAGCACACACTAAGGGAGAATGTGGAAGCATTTCGTAGAATCACGTTATGTGTTAAGCTTACACTTATTATTCTTGTTATTGAACAGGGTCGACGTTTTAACATCATCTTTGTATTACATTTCAGTATTCGGCGTAGATGTGAGCAGAATTGATACATCAACCACTATATTAGGTTACAACACTTCGGCACCCATTATGATTGCTCCAACTTCTATGCATAAGTTGGCACACCCTGAAGGTCTAAATCCACTTAGCAAGAATTATTGACTGAAGTTTATGTGTAGTTCTGATTCCAGTATTGAATTGTGTTTATTCCAGGAGAGGTTGCGACAGCCAAAGCAGCAGCTTCTTGTAACACCATAATGGTACTATTATTCTAATGGGGAGCGCGTAATGATGCAATTATTCTAATATGGATGGTTGTTTGTTGACTTAATGTACTTGAATATAGAGTTGGTCTTAATCGCAGGCATTGTCCTTTTCCTCTACCTGCACTGTGGAGGAGGTTGCTGCCAGCTGCAATGCTGTTCGCTTCTTTCAGTTATATGGAACATTCTCACAAGCTCTTCTAATTTCAAAATTTTCTTCATAAAAATTTCCATGTTTCTTTAGCATAATGGTTAGATTTTTCATTCTTGTGATCCCAGTTGTAGGAGCTGAATAAATAATTCGGTCTTCCTCTGTTTATAGGTGTACAAAAGACGCGACGTGCCAGCTGTGTTAGTGCAGAGAGCCGAACAAAATGGTTCTAAGGCCATTATTCTTACTGTTGATACTCCTGGACTTGGTCGAAGGGAGGCAGACATAAAAAACAAGTGAATTTTTATTTCCTTTTTCTTTTGTAGTTTCCACTACTAGAGCAATGGCCTTCACATATTGGAGTAGATACTCTACCTAACTTGGAAAACAGTACTTAAATTTAGTATTTAATATTACAAGGACCCTTTCTCTTGTTTACTCTGTTATGTTGACATTGTAACTCATGCATCACATTTGTGACACAAATCACCTGTGCAGAATGGTTCAACCACAGTTGAGGAATTTTGAAGGTCTTCTCTCAACCGAAGTAGTATCTGTGAGTGGAATAATTTTGTTTAGCAATATTTTCTTTTCAACATACTAAGAAACAATGTGCGAGTTTTATTCTGTGTATCGATCTGATAGGGAATATAGATTTCTCCACCGCTGCTTGTAAAAAAGGGGTTATATTTCTCACCACATATTCTAGGTTTAGATGGTGTAATTTTTCGTTCGTCCCATCACCAGTCACTTAATATTTGAAAATTAAAATTTACACTTGGATTTTATCTGTGTGAGTCTTATAGCTAGTTTGATGTTATATTCTCAAAAAAAAAAAAAATAAAAAAAAAATAATAATAATAATAATAATAATAATAATGAAGAAAAAGAAGAAAACCATATACATGTATGACACATGGTCTCGATTGCAGTCCAATTGAGCCACACCACCATAGGTATATGTTGAAGTTTCTCTTTGATAATGCCTTGCTAACTCTAGAGACGGGGATATTTGACCGTGGGTACTTACATTTCGAGTCCACATGTCACATCACCAACAATGATCCACATAGTTCGGTCAAGCGGTCAACGAGTTACGCCGCATCAATAGCGATGGCCCACAACCTAATTAACGGTCAAAGTTATCACAGTATCAACATACTTCGAATAGAAGAACGAAGACTTGAGTTGGGAGCAGGACTCATGATTACTTGGGATCTGAGGAGATTTTGGTTCAACGGCTGAAGTTCAGGTTTGCCTGACTTGTAGAGAGAGAAATACCATTTTTGACTCCCGAGCATTTGACCCCATCTTATTTAACATTACTCTATAGTTAATTGAAAAATTAATCTCTTTTAATTATTTTATTAATGGACCCACATGTGATGTCATCAATGACATCACCTACCCTCACTTGGCCTATAAACAAAAATGACCTAAGGCCAAGAAAGGAGGAGACACAACAAGGAGGAAAATACCTCCTAGACATTGAGAGCTCTAAGCCTCTCTGAGATGGGTCATCTTCACAACCTCTAAAAAGATGGATGAAGGAGTTGAAGGTGTTTTCATATATACACTACCATCTCTCTCTCTCTATCTAGTGTGCCTGGGCTTCTACCTCTCTCAATCCATTCCATCATATTTATTGCAAGATATAACTCACCATTTGTTACGTTGTGATGAGTTATAACCCACCTGTATAAATTGTGGGAAGAGTCCTTTGTGAATATGGAAGAACTCAAAAGCCCTCCATTGATCTACTGGTTTGGGCTGCAATCTTGCACTTGTTGCCATGGAAAATGAAAATTTTCTCCATGTGAACTCACGCTTCATACGGTGATCTCAATCCAACTCTTTCCTTATTTCAATATTTTTTCTCTGTCTAATATTGCTCATGCACACCTTGTTACTTGTGTTGTTTTGCAGATTTTTGATATCTTCATCTCTTGCATCTAACAACACTATTGTTGCTGCTTGCATTCACCCATTTTTTTATATAGCTGGCTCATGTCATGCTATTTCTTTCATTACAATCAATTGATTTGACTCACAATTTGGTCTATTTTTTTCATCTAGGAAACATAAAATACAATTTCCAATGCTCTTTTCCTGTAAACCCACCTACACACCCTTATCTCTATGAACATAATTACTACTCCCTCTCATTTTAGACGTCTGATTTAGAAATTTTTGAAATCACAGTTTTTAAAGTGACATCTAAAATAATTCATAAGGAGTAATATCTAGCATTTTTTATATTATTTTTTGCCAAGATATAATATTATCGTATCTTTACGTTAACAGAACACAAAGTCTGAGCTGGATCCCTACAACTTTTCTCTTTGACAGTACAATAAAGCCTAAAAATTAGGCAATAAAGCATCCAAGAGATATTTTGATACTACATTTTCGCACATTGACCGAGCTATATATATATATATATATATATATATATCCATAATCAGACAGCTGTAGGCAATACTATTTGCTCTTGGTCGACACAATGTATACATATATCTATATTCCTCTACGAAAGTATGTTTGGAGCAATTCCATCAATGAGTATCTCCTTTATTATACATACATACATCCATTATGATGCTAGCTGTCAAATACATTTTAGCCATCAGTCCCACTCTACTTATGGACAACAGTCTAAAGTTTGCCCAGTGATATCTTAATTTTCCCTCAACCATTGTACCATACACATGCAAATATACGAATATAGAAAAGGGAACAAATATTTGCACTTTCCTTTTAACCAAATGCACAGTCCTCTTAAAGTAAAATGACGTCAAGTGTCCCTAAATCATAAAATAACGTCAAAAGCATTACAAAAAAGCACAAGTTAATAACAAGACCTAAATCATAAAATAACGTCAAAAGCATTACAAAAAAGCACTAGTTAATAACAAGAATATTAACAATATAAACATAGTAAATGATACCAGCAACAATATAGGGATAAATATTTGCCCACTGAAATCAGATATTTGGATTCAAGACCAATACTTTTCATTCGTCCAATAATATTAATAAGAGTGCAATCAGACATATTTAACCTATAACTAACCACTTATAATGTCACAAACAAACTACTGTTGGGATACAATTCAATCGATACTGATCTAATCTTAACCTTGGTTTAATTATTCAAATATTGAAGATATTAATTTGAGTCTCAAAAAACGATGTGATCCTCTATGCCAATTAAGTCTCACAATAAGTTGATCCTCCCTTTGCGGAGAAATTATTTAAATTTATTCAGTGGACCCCTTTCCAATCCTCTCAAACCCCTTTCCAATCTTTCAGAAATTATTCAGAAATTATTGAGAACTTGACATACAAGTCTTGTGTCGGCTATTTTTCTTCGGTCAGTTGGAAGAGTTCCAATCCTCTCAAACCCCTTTCCAATCTTTCTTGTGCCACGTACAGAAGTGGTTTTTCTTGTTTTTTCTTCAGAAGGTGGAACAAAGTATATTGCCAACCACAGGATGAATGGGTGCTTGGAGATGTTGGAGTCGTCCCAGACGAGATGATACCAATTGGTACTCCTTCAACATTTACTATTTTTAATTATTATCAAAATTTAATGATGTCTGATATTACAAACTTATATTTTACAAGATCAATACTTTTAAGAAAGGTAGATACAGTATGTCACTAAACCACTGCCATTGATTTTGAATTCTAATATTAAATATCTTAGCAAGCAAACAATTCAATGACAAGAAGAAGAAAAAGTAAAAACAATCAATCAATAATGTTCTGAAGCTAATAACTGTCACAATGATTACTCCTTTTGAATGGGCTATGGCCTGTTGCCAATTGGGCTTGCATTTCCTTTGTTTTACTTTAGTTACCTTTGTAACAAGTTCCTATTAATAACTAATACTAAAGCCCAGCAATGTACATTAATTGTTTTCTTTACACATCTCTAAGTGGTAATTAACAAATTATGATTTATGATTTCCCTTCGTTCGTACATGCATGGCAATCTATGGAAAATTGTCATGACGGACTGACAGTAAACAAAAAAAGAAAAAGAAAATTAAGTAACCAAATGCCAGAGTAACAAAGCAGTTAGTCAGGTTTTATTTCTCACACATCAACTGAAAATGCAAAAACCGAAGAGTGTATTACACTTTGACCAAATATAACATTTCTTTAAAGTAAGAAAATTTTCAAAAAAATGTAAAGGAGTACTAATTCTACACTTGGAAATATAGAGGTGAACTAATAATACAGGTTCGACAATAGTAGTAACAGAAGAAATGGAAAAGGCACCTAACAGCAGGACAGCCTCCAGATCTAGGCTAACAATGGAGAATTGCATTACTAGAAGGTTGATGTTTCCAGGATTCTCTTAGTTATTAAGTTTGTTGCACAGATACCATGATTAACTGTGTTTCGTACATGTAAATATATAAATAGGTTTGCTATTAAAAGAATCAAAACCGGATTTATAGTTTCGAAAACTTTTTCTCCACTACCACCCCCCTTATCACTCAATTCTTTTGCTTCCCTCCGAAGAGTGTCCTCACCACTTTTCTCCACTACCACCCCCTTTATCACTCTTACAACCTCTTCTCTCTCAAGCCTCCCACTCTCATCTCATCTCTCTTGACCTCCACACCCACACCAGCCTAGCATTCAGTGGCTACGATTGGAACACCACTCTTAATACCCTCCATCACTGAACTCCAACCACAATGGCTCACAAACCCACCAATATTTGAATGCCCTAGAATCTTAGCCTATGGGGCCCAACCCTACACAACCATCCCTCTCTCTCCTGCCCTCTCATGAAACACACCCTAATTCTCTCTCCCACTGGAAACCTAACTACCCGTACGAAATTTACATTACTAAGCTCCAACCCATTTTCTATCTCCTCCATATCCTCCCTCCACAAGAAGTACTCACTCCCAAAGGACGCAAACACAGCGGAACCCCTATCCTTCTTGTTGATCCATTCAAAGATTTCCATTTTCTCATCCTCAACAATGCTTTCCTGGACAAGAGGACCAACAGGTACTGTCTTCTTCTCACTTGCCACACACAAAATCAACGCACTTCCCTTCTCTCTCTCCAAAACTCTTGATCAATATAATGTCAGACAATAGTTTCACGCATTCTTTCGAACCTTACACGATTTTTTATGCCATTTGAAGACGATTCAAGTATACCCACAATTTACTTGAACTTGGGGGATGGGAAAAAATTTAGAATTTATGGCAGAAACGGGAAAGTGAAAAAATAAAAAAATCCCCAAAATCTCAAACGTTGAAGAATGAGTTCAATTTTAACCTGTGAAAAATATGGCATATACAAAAAGATAATAGTAAACAATTATAATAAATTAGGGACAAAAAATTAATACTAAAAATTACTTTTTTAACTTGGCCAAGCTTGGCCTGGGGAATAAGAACCCCAAA